CAGGTCCCAGGCCTGTTTCCAGGCCAGTCAGGACAAGGTGGTCCTGAAGTGTACCCAAAGCGTATTCTTTAATCTTTCATTTCAAATTCCTATCTCACTATTCTACAATATTCTTCCTTCTTTTTTTTTTTTAGCTGAGTCATACTGCCACCTGTTGGCAACTCAGCAGCACCTCAGCTCAGGCCAGGAATCAAACCAGCAATCCTGTTGCTCAGCGCTCACACTGTTTTTTTTTTGTTGTTGTTTTTTTAAGATTGTTATTGGGGAATTGGGGGAAGGGGAACAGACAAGTTGCTGTCCTTTTGTTCTTCAGCCTAGTTGTGGAGGACGTTGCTTCACTGGCCCAAGTTGGCACCATCATTGCGCTCTTCCTGGGCGAGGCAGATCAGTCGCCTGCTTCTGGACGGCCGCTCACGCTGGCTGCTGGCTACACGCGGTAGCCCATGGCAACCCACTGCAGCAGTGGCGGCAGCCCAGCTCCAGGTTTAGCTGTTGTTCAGCATCTTAACTATAAAGGGCAGTGTCACTGGACCTCATATGTGGGATCTGAACCGGGGCCCTCTGGCATCCCAAGCCAGTTCTTAACTAACTGAGCCACTCAGCCAGCCCATATTCTTCCTTCTTGATTCCCTCCAAGCTCTTGGCGGTTTCTCTTGCTCATATTGCCCCCTCCCCCCATATCATCCATTCTATAAACATTTAGAGCTGCCCACAGGCCAGGCTCAGTGGTGAATGCTGGGGATGCAAAGACCCTGCTTTTAGGGAGCTCATGGTCTGGTGAGGTAGACAGACATGTTGTCTGGTTGAGGTGAGCACAGAGGCAGTGAGGCAGAGAAGATGCCATCCAGGTCAGCCTGGATGTGTCAGGGATGGCCTCAGTGGGAGGTGAAGTCAAATCCCATTCTGAAATGTACACAAGAGCTGGCCGGATGCAGAGAGGGTAGACAGGATTGCGTTTAGGACTGTGATTGTAGGCAGGTTCACAGGCCTGGGACCCAAGATGCAGCAAGGGTATCCCCCTGGATTGGGAGCCTGCAGCTGAGGCCCCAACCTACACTTTGGATCTTTCTTCTTGAACACCGATGTCACCTGCTCCTCACCTCCTCTCACATCTTGAGATATTCATTTCATGGGTCTAGACCAGCCAAGAAGGGTTGATACCTAGCTAATGTTTCTTTAACCTCTCGCCCACCGAACTCCCAGACCCTTCCTCATCCTGAGGGCTAATCCTTCTTTAGGTTCTTTGACTTTGGTGTCTTCCCTGCCAAAAGACTTGCGAGGTTTCCAGGCTGGATCTGGCCCCATCTTGGTGCTCACTCAACCCCACATTCCCTGGTGGGCTACATCATTCTGCTCTGCAGTTGCCTGGCTACCTCTGAATTCCCCCCACTGGCCATAGGGCCTGGTACAGAGCAAGGCCTTTGCAACCACCTAGAGATTGAATGAATGAGCAAATGAATGATCATAGTCAACACTCTATAGTCATTTGTGATTAGCTCATTGAGTTTCCTTCTTTTATGTGCTGGGTCTGCCCCAGCCTTATTCCCTACTTACTTAGTACAGTTTCTAAGGAACTTTATGACTTCTCTCTCTAGCACCCATGTTGAACAAGAGAGTGAGGAGGACTTTTGGGTAAGGCTTTTCCTTCAGCCCCAGAACTACTACAGTCTCATTCTCCACCTCCACCCTCTTTAGCTTCCAAAGAAGCAAGGTCAAAATCATGAAGATCCTTCAGGCATCCTTCAGGTGCTCCTCCTAATCTCATACTACCATTTATAAACCCATCAGTCACTGGTGGTAGACAGGTACTGGCCTAAGCACACAGACCAATATTAGGTATTTATTATCTGATAATTCCCCCTCCCAACTACGGGGCAGAGATCATACTGCTAAGCTCACCACCCTTGGATCCCAAGTATCTGGTGCTTAATAGACTCAGTAAATATTAACTGAATAAATGGGTAAGTGAGTGCAGTCAAGGTTTCTGCTAAGATCCCAGCAGCGGGGTCCAAGAACAACCACAAGGGTTACCTATTTACCCATTTTAAAGGTCCATTTGGTGTGTTTGACTTTTATGCAAGCCCTTGAAGGTGGAAGGAAGAATAGTCCCTGCCCAGGTTCCCTGATAAGGATAAATTCTCACTGTGAAATATTTGTACCATGGAGAACCCCCACCTCAACCCCAATCCTTGCCTGTTTTCTGTCTGGGAATTCCTTCCATCAGCTGACTTAATTTACTTTCACGTGCAACAAACAGTTGACTATGATCTCAGATGTATTTTTTATTCTTATTTTTATTTATTTTAAAGAAATTTTATTGGGGAACAGTGTGTTTTTCCAGAACCATCAGCTCCAAGTCAAGTAGTTGTCTTTAATTTAGTTGTGGAGGGCGCAGCTCCACGACCCACATGGGAGTCGAACCGGCAACCTTGGTGTTATGAGCCTGCACTCTAACCACCTAAGCTAACCGGCTGCCCCTCAGATGTATTTTTTAAAAGGCATAGAAAAAGGTTGGAGGAAAATATGGTAAAACATTAATAGCACTTGCTTCTGGGTGTTGGGTTTATGGTTAATTTTTAAATTTTCTTTATTTTCCAAATTTTTTCTACAATGGACTGTTATTTTCATAATAAAGAAAATTTGACAGAATCTTTTTAATCATACAAAACCATTCCTCTTGATACAACTGGAGCCCTTTCCCTTCCATGTGAGGGACAAATGGTACAAAAAAAACAGCTGGGGGCCGGCTGAGTGGCACGATGGTTAAGAACTGGCTTGGGACGCCAGAGGGCCCCGTTTCGGATCCCACATGTGAGGGCCAGTGACACTGCCCTCCACAGCTAAGATGCTGAACAACAGCTCAACCTGGAGCTGGGATGCCGTGAGTCGCGGGCAACGGCGTAGACTGCAGTCCCTGTGGCAGTGGGTTGCCATGGGCTACCATGTGTAGCCAGCAGCCAGCGTGAGCGGCCGTCCATAAGCCGGCGACTGATCTGCCTCACCCGGGAAGAGCGCAATGATGGTGCCAACTTGGGCCAGTGAAGCAACGTCCTCCACAACTAGACTGAAGAACAAAAGGACAGCAACTTGTCTGTTCCCCTTCCCCCAATTCCCCAGCATTGTTCCCATCCCCCAATTCCCCAATAAAAATCTTAAAATAAAATAAAATAAATCATTAAAAAACAAAAACAAACACACAAAAAAACCAGCTGGTTTGTCCTCAACCCCAGTCTTTCCCACCTTCCTGAGCCCATCTTTGCTGTGAGACTAATGTACTGGCCCCATCCAACTCTGAGCAGGCTTTCCAAGAATCTCAGAATTCCAGAACCTTAAAATGATTTCCCAATTCCTGTTTGAATGCATTTATCTTCAGGAATGGCTTGGTTAATATATTCCCCAGACACACAGACTGAAGGCACGTTTGACCTACTCTTTGACTTCATCTTCCTCATTCAATTAACCACCAGTTCCATCAATTACATTTCCAAAATGTGTCTGGTACTCATCTTTTCCCCTCTGCCCCACTACAACTGCCTTCATCCAGGTCTTCATTCTTGCTTACTTGGACTATTGTCAGATGCTCTTCACTGGTCTCTTGCATCCAGTCTAGCTCCAATCCCCCCCCCCCAAATATAATACCTGTATTTTTCAGAGGAGTTTTATGTTCACAGAAAAAGACACCAATATTTCCCATATACCTCCTGCCCCACACATGCACAGCCTCCACCATTATCATTTTAACTTTTAAACGATGCACCCAGAAATTTTGTTTGTTTGTTTTACAAAGGGCAGAAATTTCAGAAAATTGAGAGGAATGAGCTGGGGGTGATAGTATAATGTGCTACATAAATGTATTAATTCAAGCTGATGTTTGCAGTTCACATCGTGTCACAGAATTCTTAAAACAAGACCCAGAGTGAGGGGTTTGGATTCTAAACCCAGGTATTTATTAATAGTTGCTCGTCTTGCTCCACAGTACTGTTGAAGAAGCACAGTAGCCGTGAAGGTAATGCTGGAAACCTAGGAACTCAATGGAGACTATAAAGTTTCAGGAAAAGTAGCTTTCTTCTCTAGAGCGAGGGCCAGAGAAATACATTTCGAGAGATAGCTTGTTTCCAGCTTCATGGTCATCTTCTATGATTTAGAGAACGTTAGTGAAATTTAACGTACCACTTATAGAGAATTTTTTTAAGGGTGCTCGGAGACAATTGTTTTGGAGACCGCAGAAAACAGTTCGGGAAAAAAAGAAATCACAAGTAAGTCTACTTCGGCAGGAGGTAGAATGGCCTCTATGGAAACCATAAGGACCAATACGGACCAAGGATTTAAATAAGATGGTTGCTGGGATAGGACCGCTCTAGCTTTCCGAGTGAAACTCTATGGTAGAGTAGAAACGTACAGTTTAGAGAAGTGAAGCTGAGATAGGTGATAACCCGACCACACTAGCTCAATGAGAAGAGTGGAGCGGAAAAGGTCTCGCGCGCATGTGTGTAATCGGGAGATAGGTTTTCAAACAAGGGGGTGGGGATAGGATTTCAAACAAGAGGCCCAAACCCCCAGGGCAAGTTTTCTGAAACGTGTGAGTCGTTCAAGTCCAGTTAAAGCCAAGGTGGGGCGTTTCCTATGACGCATGCGTTCTAGACGAGACAAGCGATACAGTGGCATGGTCTTTTCAACGTCCGGCGTACTGACGACGTCTGAGGTGGAAGGGGAGGGCAGGATTCCCAACACGCATGCGCTTTGAGGCCGAGGCGTTTTCTTAGAGGGTGAGTCTAAGGCTCCTTATTGCGCAGGCGCAAGGACTGTCCGGTAAAGCTGATGGTCTATCACGGGGAGGAAAGAGGAGGTTGAAGGGATTAAAACACCGGGTGCGCCTGCGCGTTGCCTACTGGTGGGCAGAACTCAGGATACGTAAGGGGCGGGGTGACGTAGCGCGTCATTGAATGGGTAGGTGGGAGGGAGGGTGGAGTTCGCGGAGGGACTGTGCGCTTGCGCAGTGCGGGGGTGGAGGGCGGCGGAGCTAGCTAGCACGCTTGCGCGGCTGTCACAGGGCTGCTTGGTTGGTCAGTGGGGAGTCGGCGCCTGCGTACTAAGACCCGTGTGCAGCAGCGACGGCGGCGGTAGAGGCGGCGGCGGCGGCAGTGGGCTCGGAGGCAGCGGTTGGGCTCGCGGCGAGCGGACGGGGTCGAGTCAGTGCGTTCGCGCGAGGTGAGAACGGGCAGGGAGCGCGTGCGCGGAACCCTGCTTTGGGCCTGGGAGTAGAGATGGAACTGCGCGGGGGTCGGGGAGGGGGTAGAGGGGAACGGCGGCGGCCGCTGCACGGGGTCCGGTCAGCGAGCAGTGTGAGGTGCGGGAAGGCGCGGGCGCGCGCTCGGGTTGGCGCGCCGGGTGACGGTTGGGGCCTGACGGGTGACGTTGGAGCGACGCAGGGCGGGGGACGGCGAGCCGCGAGGCCGCCACGCGGGAGAGGCCGCCGGGCGGCCACGCCGGGGCGAGGGCCGGGGGCCAGATCGGCCCGCGGAGTCAGAGGTACTTGGGCCGTTGAGAACCGAGCACCGCGCGGCCACGTGAGGTGGGGGAGGGGGCTATTCGGTGAGAGGGCATGGGGGGGGCTGGCGGCCGGCGTAGGAGGAGGGAAGCGGCGTAGCTCCGTCCTGGTGCGGCCTTTGAGGAGGGGACAGCCGCGGCACCGGAAGTACCCCCCACGGGATCCTGCCCTACGGGTCGGAGGCCGCATGGCCGAACGTGGACGGGGCCCGCATGGCAGCGCGGGGACCCCTCCCCCCAGGTCCGGGCCACCGGAAACCCCGGGCGGCCACATGGTGGGCGGGAGCCGGCAATCCTCTCCGCGGGGACAGCAGGTCCTCGCGGGCGCCTAAAGGAGCTTGGAATTTAGAAGAGTGGGAGAAGCCAGAGGCCCAGACCCTGATCACCCCGGAGAGCCCGGTGCAGGCATATGTTAGCCCTCCCTCACCTCATGGGCCCCTGGGGCTTTACCCCCAACCCTCATGTGAAGTGAAAGGGCCAACCAGGTGTAAGTGGCACTCTTCCGTGCTGGAAGGCCAGAGAAATGGGGAAACTGAGGGCGATTGAACGGGAACCCAACTCTTCTCAGTCATACCGACAGCACCTTAAAGTCCCGGGCAAATGAGTTCCCTGCTATGATAGGCGCTTTTCACCTTGTCACTGTCTTCCTCGATGTGCCAATTTTGGGAGTTACTGGTTTTAGAGTCCTTAACTCAACTAGACTAGTACAAGTTATACTACTTACTATTGGCAATCTTTGCTTTCATTTTATTGTCATTCCTCAGTCCCCACTTTATACTGACTTACAGGCCCAGCCTGAAAACCCTAAAGGACTGATGCATCTTGGGAAAAGTGGGAGGGCCCTCGAGGAGAGGCTGGGTTCCTGGGTTCCCTTTGGGAAACGAGATCGACGTGTTGGGGGGGGGTGGCAGTTAGAAAACAAGTTTATTTTCTCCCCTTCGGCTGCATCTGCAAATGCATGTTGGAGAGGCGGGAATCCCCCAAAGAGGCCTTGTGGTTTCCTGTACCAATGACTGGCTTGTGTGTGGATAGGTTGGGGGGGTGTAACAGCCGGGTGGGGCCCCGTCCTCTGGTCTCCACCCTCCCTTCTCCCCTCCACATTAGCCCCGCCCTTGTGCTGGCTCATTGCTACTCACCTAATTATAGCCCTGGTTATTATGTACAGGGAAGAGGGGTGGTTGGTTTCAGTGGCTACTTAACACCTGAGTCTCCCCCTCCCAGACATTAGGCCTTTGCCCATCTCAGATATTTAGCATCCTAATTCCCCGAAACTTCCTTTCCCAAGCCCCTCTTTACTTTGATTTGGGGTGGGGACCCAGCTTATTTCACCCACACACACTAGTTTTTAAGTATTTGTGATTCCAGTCAGTATTTAATCTAGGAACTTTGGTTTTATTTTAGGTAGGTAATGGAGTAAACAGCTGGGAAGAAAATGAAGCAGTGTTTCCAGAGAGAAGTGGGATAAATTAGAGGCCCTGTTAACCTCCGCTCTTACTGACCCCAGTTCTCTTCTTGATTCTAGTTGGAATCGAAGCCTCTTAAGATGGCAGATGATTTGGACTTCGAGACAGGAGATGCAGGGGCCTCAGCCACCTTCCCAATGCAGTGTTCAGCATTACGTAAGAATGGCTTTGTGGTGCTCAAAGGCCGGCCATGTAAGATCGTGGAGATGTCCACCTCCAAGACTGGCAAGCACGGCCACGCCAAGGTTAGAATTTCACCTCTCCACATCTTGCCTTCCCCACACCTCCCATGTATGTCCATGGGGCTCCTGGCAGTAAGCTGTCGTCAATCCTAGCTTTACTTTCCTTAAGCTCTTTTCTTACCTACCATCTAATCTTGTGTGTTCAGCACTCAGTCCTGGATACCTTTCAACTACTCTTGCCGCTCCAGTGTTGAGCCTCTTCTACCTATATTCTCTGGTAACATCTCTTGGTGGTCCTTTTTGCTTGTGCCATTCAGCTGCTGCTGCTTATTTCTGGCTTTCAATTTTTCTGTCTTTATTCCCTTGAGTTTTTGTAGGTGCTCGTAGTTTTTCCCAGGGTTTCTTCGATCCTAACACAGAATGCAGCCTTCCCTGGAGAGGGCCACTGTACCGCTGAGTTTCTAAATCACCTTTCTGCCCCCCTCTCCTTGAGCTCCTTGGGTGTCTCCTTGATTTCTTGGGTCCTAACATTTTTGCTAGTGCTTTCCTTGTCACTTGAGACTTTTCTGTTTCCTCAGAAATTCAGTCTGGTTCATCCTTTTTGGATTTCTTGTGATTTTATTCTCTTATCAGTTTCTCTCTTTTGTTGACTTGGCATTCATCCTAGGTTACCTTCTCATGTCTTATTAGATCCTTCAATGTTCTTTCTGGTTTCCTTGTTTCTTAATTGCTTAGTTCTTTCTGGTTTCCCCCAGGTCATTTTTTCTTTTCAGCTCTCTTCCTTTCCCACTCTTTTCTGTTTTCTCAACTCTTTGCCTTGTACCTTCTTTATTTCCCAAGTTTTTAGCCTTTTATGCTGTTGTGCAGAAAACTCTTCTAAACTTTTACCTAGACTCCTCCCACTCCTTTAGGCTCTTAGCTTCTTATTTGTCAATGTAAATAACTGACTGCTCCAAGCCTGGTCTAGTTTCCCTTGTGCTGTCAAGCCCAATCTCAATGGTGGTCTTTTGCCTCTGGTTCTTTTAGAGGCTTTGGTGTTTCTTTCTTGACTTTATGGTTCATTTCCAGCTTCCCTACTCTTTGCCCATACAATGTAGTTTGACTTCCCTTACCAGTCAAGGACAACTTGGGCCTTTATCTGCTCCATTCTACGGTTTGGTTGGGTTTCTCTTTGATGTGATGCATATACACAGGTCCACCTGGTTGGTATTGACATCTTTACTGGGAAGAAATATGAAGATATCTGTCCATCAACTCATAATATGGATGTTCCCAACATCAAAAGGAATGATTTCCAGGTATGTAGATGGGTTAGTGGTTGGGTGGAGGGGTGAGGGGGATACAGATTGACCAGAAGAGCTTGTGCTGGGAGGAGGAAAATGGCTGGAGGAGAGGGTATTTGGTGTTAGTAGTTTGCCACCCCAGTTTGTCTGTCAGACCTTTTATCCTCAACCTCCAGCTTTCTTCCCTATCTTCCCCCAGCTGATTGGCATCCAGGATGGGTATCTATCACTGCTCCAGGATAGCGGGGAGGTGCGAGAGGACCTTCGTCTGCCTGAGGGAGACCTCGGCAAGGAGATTGAGCAGAAATATGACTGTGGAGAGGAGATCCTGGTATATAGTCCCCCATTCTTGTGCCCCACTTTCCTCTTTGTGCTTCATTTCTGAGCTCAGACTTTTTTTTCACTTGTTCCCCCCAGATCACAGTGCTGTCTGCCATGACAGAGGAGGCAGCTGTTGCAATCAAGGCTATGGCAAAATAACTGGCTCCCAGGTGAGTGTGACAAACTCCCCCCAACCTCCTCCACACTTTGCCTCCTCAATTCTTTGTTCCCATCAAAGAGTTGCTTTTGCTTTAGTCTTAATTCTTCTAGGCTTACTTTCTAGCCCCAGCATTGTCCTCACCCTTTATCCTGTTGAAGGTGTTTTCCTGTCTTACCTGGTTTCTTTCTCCTACCCAGGGTGGCAGTGGTGGCAGCAGCAGTGATCCTGGAGCCTGCAGAGGCCCCCTCCCCCAGCCTGGCCTGGCTCTGGCCAGGCACTTGGCTGGACTCCTATACGATTTATTTGACGTTTTATTTTGGTTTTCCCCACCCCTTCAATCTGTCGGGGAGCCCCTGCCCTTCACCCTGCTCCCTGGTCCAGGAGTGAGCCATGGCCTTGGTGAAGCTGCCCTCCTCTTCTCCCCTCGCACTACAGCCCTGGTAGGGGAGAGGGGGTGGGTGCTGCTTGTGGTTTAGTTTTTTTTTTTTTTTTTTTTTAAATTCTGGAATCAGAAAGCTGTGGATTCTGGCAAATGGTCCTTGTGTCCCTTCCCCCACTCATCCCCAATCTGGTCCCTTGTTCCCCATAGCCCTTTACCCCAAGTACCACCCCCACAGACTGGGGACCAGCCTCCTCCCCTGCCTATATCTCTCCCCAAATCCCTTTAGCTGGGGAGGGAAGAGGAGGGGAGGGGAGGGGACCTGCCCTCTCCTCAGGCATCTGGGAGGGCCCTGTCCCCATGGGCTTCACCCTTTCCTGTGGGCTCTCTCCCCGACACATTTGTTAAAATCAAACCTGAATAAAACTACAAGTTTAATATGAAGCCCCAACTTAGCTGCTTCTTTGAATAAATGGGTATTTGCTGACTTAAAAGGTAAATTTGGAAACCAGAAATAGATTATAGATTGGTGTCAATAAGTTGCAGTGGACTTGCTAGCCACCCCCCACCCTCCAAGCAGTCCTGGCCTACCTAGTCCAGGAGGGAGGCAACACAAATAGAAGCCAAAGGCAATGGCAGGTAGATTTTATTGACCTGGGACTACAGCACACTTGGGACCCTTGCCTAGGGTGGAGGGTTGGGGATGAGGCTGATGATAAAATTTGATGGTCACTTGTGGTAGAATCGTGTGTTCTGGCTGTGCTGGATGAAAGGGAGCCGAGGGCCTGGTTGGCTGGTAGCTGCAAAGCTTGACTGATGGTGAATGGAAGGAGGGCTTTGTCAATATGCATACTCTCCCAACACCCTTAAAACCATCCCAAAGGAAGAAGGGAGAAAGACAGGACTGGACCAACTGTCCTACCCAATTCTGTTTTCTCCCATAGTGTAAGGATTGGGACAGGTATGATTACCATCCTTACCTTTCCTGCTGGTTGCATCTGCACGGGGAGCTGTGGAGAGGCAAGGAGTCCAGGAGCTGGATGCAGAGCTTGGGGATGCATGGGGCGCAGGGAGGACTGCAGAGAACAGAGTCAGGACCTGAGGCAGCCTGGGGCTCCCCTTAGCATAGCCCTTCCCCTGACCTCCCAAGGCTCCACACTCACTGAGTCAGAGAAGCCAGTTTGCTGGTTAGCATGTTCCATTTGCTTTTGCAAGGACAGAGCACTGCCAGGCTGAAGGAACCCTAAAAGGGGAAGGAGGATGTGTGAAATGAGTAGAGAACGGGGAAGGGAGGACCCATGGAACTAGGTCCCCTGCATGGGGTGTAGTCACCTGTCTGAGTGGGCTGAAAGTGGCTGTGCACTGCATAGGGCTGTGGCTGTGGCTGAGACAGGTACTGTACTGCAGGAAACGCTGAAGGTGCTGAGAAAGGTAGGAGGCACAGCCATTAGAACCTCCTTTTAGTCTGTTTAGAAGAAATACTCCTCCCTCTGGGCCTTGAGGAAAACCCCCACCCCCCTTTTCACCACTCACCTCTGAGCTGCTGACTAGGACTATAGGCGGGTTGAGTGGGTCCATAGTGAGGTGGGGGCTGAGCAGTCCCATAGGCACCACCTGGGCTGCCTTGGAACTGCCCATGCTCTGGGGTCCCTGCGAAAGCAGCTGCTGAGCCCACATAATGCCGGGTCTAAGGAGGGAGGATGACACCTCACTATCTGTAAATTCCTTGAAAGTAGCAATTTTGATTTGTGTATGCCCCATTTTTCCCTATACAGTTAAATGTATGGTACACTCATGACTTGAATATTGGTTTATTAAGGATGTCTGCATCTGGGTGGAAGTAGTAGGGGCAAAAATGGGCTAGACACCCAATCCTACTTACTGTAAGCACTTGGGGTCCGAACATCTGTTTCGCTCTGTCAGCTGCCATGAGGGTACCTGGGCGAGTGTGTCCTCCAGGGCTCCCTAGAGAGGGAGAGGGGCTTCATGATGCTGAAATGGGAATCTACAAACCCTAAGAGGGCCCATTCTGACAAGTGGTTTCTTTAATCCTCACCCTGCATACTGAGGAGATGAGTTCCTGTGTGAACAGTCAGGCCCTGTGGGTATGCAGCTGATGTCAGAGTGGTCAGGTCACTGGAGTGAAAGGAAGACAGGTCAACATCAAGGACAAGTGCTCCCTCTTGCCATTAAACACTGATCTTATGTGATCTGTTATGCTTTGCCCCCAATTTTAATTTTAGCTCTCCAATCCCACCTCTGCTCCTTTCGCCTCCGTTTCTCTTCCTCATGTAAAACTTTCTTGAGCTGCAGGAAAAGCTGGTGCTTCTCTTCCTGTAGGGCCAAAAGCTTCTCTTGCAACTTCAGGATCTGAGAAAGGAGAGGAGAGATGAAGGCAGGAGAGCCAAAGAAAGAAAGCTGGTAGATCAAGGGGCTACATACTTGTTCTTTGGTCTCCTCTAGTGACATTCTCTCTTCCATCTCCTTTTTCTTCCTTCTCTCCTGCTCTTCTTTCATCTTCTGTTCCATCATCTTGTCCACCTCTTCTTCCTCTGGAGAAAGAGTTAGGCAAAATGGAAAAGTGGCAGGGTGGTTAAAATAATTAGAATGTTAGGGATTGAAGACCTGCAAAAATTGGTTATCCCAGTGCCTTTATGCTGTTCTTGAGAGGACAGGCCTCCCATCACTGCAATAGGGCAGAGAGAGAAAAAGTTTCACTAGGTGCTCTCCAAGGTCCTTCCCAGCTTAAGGGTTTTACAGTTTAGACCTGGAGATTTAAACTCCCACAACAGGGCTGTTCCACTCCTCCTTTAGCTTCGGCCGCGGGAGCACTGCTCTGCCTGGGGGTGGAGGTCAGCCCTGGGACAGCGGTACAGCCCTGGGCAAGTGTCCTCCGGCTTTGGCCCCAGCTCACCTTGCCGCTTGCGCTCCCGCTCCATCATGATGTGCCGGTGCAACGCCCTGGCCATGGCGTTGGAAAGCTTGGGGCGCTCCAGGAGCGCAGGCATGGTGCCGCCAGAGACGCTCGGACCGTGCGTGCGGGGCTCTGTTGCAGACTACTAGACCTCGGACCGGGCCTGTGAGAAGGCGGGCGCTCAGGATGGCTCGCGCCCGGTCCGCGAAGGCGGAAACCCGCCCGCCGCCCCGATCACGTGTCCGGAGCCTGCCGCTAGGCCCGGCCCGACCCGTTCACCCGCCTCGGCTTCGGCGCGTACGCGCGCGCGGGCGGGGCAGGGGTCTCAAGTCTCGACACTCCCGCACCCCCACCCCGCGCCAACACTGGCGTGGGCCCCTTCCTACCCGCCTTCTCTACGCTTTCTCCGCGGCCTACTGCGCACTTTGGCCGCTGCGTCACATCCGGCAACTGGAGTTAATCCTTCCGGGGTCAGAGCAGACCTCGCGGGTTGGGCGGGGAGGAAAAGGCGGAAGTGAGGGCGACGGGTGCCTGTGGCGTCCAGAGCCCTCCGCTATGCCGGCCCCGTGCCGTCCACCCCACGGCGCTGCTCCCGGCCGGTCGCCAACCGTGAGACGCTCGGAGACAGCTCTGGTTCCCCGGCGGGTCTCTAACTGGGCCGGCCGGGGATCCCCGAGGGGCGCGTGAGAGACGGACGAGGCAGGTGCTCTGAGACCGTGTTTATTGGCTCCTTAGAAATCAGAGTCATAACAACTGTACAGAGGGCCCCACCTTCCCCGCTCCCGCCCGGTGGCTCCCGGAAAAAGCAGCTTCATGGGGGGCACAGGGAGACTCCTCTGGGATTCACAGTAATGAGGAACAAAAACGGAAATAAATTAAGTGATACAGGGGAGGAGGTCATAGGGAGTCGTGTTCCCCAAATCAGTGCATGAGGAGGGGTTACCCAGGGCCTGGAGCTGGGCTCCCCACAAGCTCCCTCACCTCAGAGAAAGCGTTCAAGGACCCTGGATATGGAGATGTGCTCCACTTCCCATCTAAATCTGAGAGCCTGCCTACATCTTGTGCATCTGCCAAACTGAGCACCGTGCATGCCGTGGGTCACTGGAATGAGGTGGAGGCAGTCATCACTCAAGAGTCCATGGGCCCAAGGCCTAACTGTGCTTGTAGTAGTGAGGTCTCACTCTTCATTCCACCCGTACCAGCAGGGCATAGAGGAGTGTGGCCCCCTTCTCCTTGGTTACCCATTCAAGTTCGGCTGGGCTGAAGTGAGGGTCAGGAGGTTCTCTGAGGGCAGCAGAAGGAGGGCCAGGGGTGTAGGAGCCAGGGCGCACACACACCTGGAATGCCACCTGGGCCTGGTGTGTCCGCTGGGATTTGGGGTCCCGGAATCTGTCAGGCAAGAAGCAGAAATAGGGTAGTGAGACTTCTGGCCCCTGTCACATCTTCCCCTTGCTAACTACGTCCACTGCACTAGCTTCACTCTTCCTGGGAATCATTCCCATCTTATAGGGAGTTGGCTCTAGCTCTTCTATTCTAAATGGTTTTCCTACCAATGCCTCCTCAGCTAAATCCCTCATCTCCTCCAGCCTTTGCTCAAATCTCAACTTAATGATGTCTATCCTGACTACCCTATTTAATACACCCACTCCAACCGCACATTTTATCTATTTTCCCCCACTCCACTTTTTCTGTTTCCACAGTATTACTTGTCGCCTTTAAAAATGCTAAATATGGACCGGCCGAGTGGCGCGATGGTTAAGAACTGGCTTGGGACACCAGAGGGCCCCGGTTCGGATGCCACATGAGGGCCAGTGACACTGCCCTCCACAGCTAAGATGCTGAACAACAGCTCAACCTGGAGTTGGGCTGCCGTGAGTCGCCGGCGACAGCGTAGGCTGCAGCCCCTGTGGCAGTGGGTTGCCATGGGCTACCATGTGTAGCCAGCAGCCAGCGTGAGCGGCCAGCAGCCGCAGTGAGCGGCCCGGAAGCCGGCGACTGATCTGCCTCGCCTGGGAAGAGCGCAATGATGGTGCCAACTTGGGCCAGTAAAGCAACGTCCTCCACAACTAGACTGAAGAACAAAACGACAGCAACTTGTCTGTTCCCCTTCCCCAATTCCCCAGCGCTATTCCCATCCTCCCCAATTAAAAAAAAAAAAAAGCTAAATATTTTTTATGCATAAACATTCTAGAGAGAAAATATAAGTTCTACAAGAGCAAGTTTCCCTTTTTTGGTCACTGAGATAGCATGAAAGAAGTGGCATTTATTCAACAAATGTGTGAGAAAAGGGCTGGGGTGGAAACAGGAATTAGCAAAACCAGGCGGGAAAAGGGAAGGCAAATCATGGAGACCCAACTGGCCCTGGGGCCCCGTCCCATGTACTCACTGCACTTTGGATGCCAGGGTCTCAGCCCCAGCATATTGGAGGGAGGGAGAAAGCAGCACTGGAGGGGGCTGTTCCTCCCGAGAAGGTACGCAGTTTTCACCAGGCTCCTCAAACCCTCCCCCAAGGTCTCCCTTCAGGGGCCGGCAGCTCA